AGTTGTTTTGGTCATAGGTCACTTATTATTTAAAAAAAACATTACTTATGTGTCATACTTTTCCATAAATAAAAGATTTTGTGCCTTTCACCTTGGTCTTATGGATGACCAGCTCTGGAGAAATACAGCTGCCATGTTGAAAAGGCTTTCAGACAGCCTGAAGATGCCCACACTAGGAAGAACTTAGGCCGATCAACAGTCAGTACCAACTTGTCAGCCATGTCGGAGAGGCACCTTGAAATGACATCCTCCAGCCGCAGGAAAACATTCAGATGACTGCAGCTCCACCAGACCTTTGACTGAAGTTTGTGAGAAGCACCAAGCCAAAATTGTCCAGACAAGCCTTCACTGAATTCTTGACTCATAGAAAGTATGGAAGATAGTAAATATATATAAGTTTTGGGGTAATTTGTATCAGCAAATACAACTTGTAGAGATTTTGACACCCGGATGTGGACTGCAGATATGACAAAAACCTGAATGTGTGGGAGTGGCTTTCAGATTGGATTTTTAGTGAGTCTGAAGGGACTTTCAGTAGAGTATTAGTGAAGGCCAAAAAGATCTTACAGAGACTGTTAGCAGAAAGCCAATGTCCTGGGAGAAGCCAGCTGGTTAAGGCTTAAAGAAAAAATAAACCCTGTAAATGTTATTAGAAACTGGAAGAAGGGATATTTGTTACGTAATGGCAAAAAGTTTAGCAAAACTGTGTGGAAGGTAGAAGATACACGTGATAAACTGACTCAGTCATTTAACACATGAGATTTTAAAGCAGAGTGTGGAGGGTGCCACCTGGCTTCTTCTTGCTGTATATAATAAAATATGAGAGAAGATAGATAAACTAAAGAAAGGACTATTAAAAATAAAACAGATTAAACAAACTGGAAAACCTAGAGGAAATGGATAAATTCCTGGACACATGCAACCTACTAAGTTTGAATCAGGAAGAAATAGAAAACCTGAACAGACCAATAATGAGTGACAAGATGGAATCCGTAATAAAAAAAAAAATCTCCCAACAAAGAAAAGAGCCAGATGGTTTCACTGCCTAATTCTACCAAACTTTCAAGGAAGACCAAACACCAATTCTCTTGAAACTATTCCCCAAAAATTGAAGAGGGGATTCTCCCTAACTGAAGGCCAGCATTATCCTAATACCAAAATCAGTAAAGGACATAACAAAAAACAGAAGACTATAGGCCAATATTCCTGATGAACATACAGGCAAAAATCCCTAGCAAAATACTAGCATATTGCATCCAACAGCTCATCAAAAAGAGAATGCATCATGATCAAGTGGGATTTATCCCAGGAAGAAAGGAAGGTTCCACATACACAAAGCAGTAAAACGTGATATATCACATCAGCAGAGTGAAGGACAAAAACCATACAATCACCTCAATAGATGCAGAAAAAACTTTTAATAAAATTCAACATCTCTTCATGATAAAACTCTTAACAAACTGGGCATAGAAAGAACATACCTCAACATAATAAAGGCCATATAGGACAAACCCACAGCTAACATCATACTATCATCATACTGAATGGGGAAAAGCTGAAAGCCTTTCCTCTAAGAACTGGAACAAAAACAAGGATACCCACTTTTAGCACTCCTATTCAACATAGTACTGAAGTCTGAAACAAAGCCATCAGGCAAGAGGAAGCAATAAAAGGCATCCAGATTGGAAAGGAGAAAGTCAACTTGTCCCTCTTTACAGATAATATAATTGTATATCTAGGAAAACCTAAATACTCAACCAAAACACTCTTAGATATGATAAATATTAAATCAATTCAGTACAGTTGCAGAATACAAAATCTATATACAAAAATTGGTAGTGTTTTTATATACCAATAATGAACTAACTGAGAAAGAAATCAAGAAGGCAATCTCATTTACTAGAGCTACAAAAAATAAAATACTTAGGAATCAGTATACCTAATACACTGTAAGTGCTAAACAAATAATTGTTATGTTGTATCGCTTTTTAAATTTGTACTTTTTGATCATTGTGTTATTATCTTTTATCTTTTTTCCTGAATATTTTAGATGCATAATTGGTTGAATCCATGGGTATGGAACCCATGGGTATAGAGGCCTGCCTGTATATAAAAGACAAATTTTAGATCAATAAGAATATCTTAAAAATAAAGTATTTTGTCAATTCTTTTATTATAAATGATAATACATCATTAGATAAATTAATCGTGGGTAATTTTTTTTCTTCCTAAAGAATACATGTCAATGACCAGATTGTGGAAGTGGATGGAACCAGCTTGGTGGGTGTCACACAGAATTTTGCTGCAACAGTTCTCAGAAACACTAAGGGCATTGTCAGGTAAATATGTGCTTTCATATACATACAATTTGGTTACTTTATATTTTGTTGGATTTTAATGGTCTATAGTTTAACCTATAAATATAAATATATGTAATTGCAGTGACAGTTTTATGTGACTACTAAAAAGTTGTCTTTAGTTTTTCATTTTTCCTTCTTTATTATAATTTATGTTCCATTCCAATATAAATGGAATTT